CTCACTCACGTTGTTACGACTGAATCGACTTTTCAATTCTCTATCCAACGATGCCAAAACGAATTCTGTGACTCGAATGGTTCTTGAGAAACTTCCAAAAAAGCAGCGTTATGTTCAAGTGGATTTTGCAACTCAAAAAAAAACCACGCAAATCTAAAACTTCTTGAATTCAAGAATTTTTTGAGAAAACTGCAACATTTCCTTATCGATGGTTCACTATCTAAAAAGGCCATTTAGTTCTCTTTGGAATGATGGAAAAACGAGCGTTCTTGCTCATTTTGCTTCCGAGAAACGTGCAAAACGGGACGGAAATCATGAAATTTTGCAATAATCTTGCACGTCACCCTTGCACAAAACGAGGATAATTTTTCTAATTTCATAGACAACAGGAGACTGTATTTTTTCTACATAACCCCCCCTCCTGAATTTAATGCTGGATCCGCCCCTGGATCCGACATTAGACAGTTTCGGCACGTTTTAAGCTGTTTTGTGCGTTCACGATCTTTAGCCGACGATTTCTTCCTCATTATTGACCCAAACACTGTAAATGCATATTTGATTGTGATGATGATATTTGGTCGATTTTTGAAAAAATGAAAATTTACTCAAAAAGTCTCCAATTTTACCTCATTTTCAGCTCACGGACGCGAGGAATGCATCGAACTCATTGAAAAACATGCCAGAAGTTTCAGATCCGAAATAAGAGACATTTTGGAACATTTTGATCGTTTCTCCATCTCTTCCGCTCAAAAAACAGGCGTGAAATTGTGAGTTAGACCGAGAAAAAACATATCTTTTTCTTCTCCTTTAAAAAAATACAGAATAATTATTATTAATTAATTAATTTGAAACTAGTGTTATTCTTTAATAACTAAAACCTTTTTGAATACTTTCTATAAAAAATGCCTCGAAGAGCATTTTATTGTTAGCAGGTAAATAGCAAATAATTGCATAGTGAATTATTTGCATTACACGTTGCCCATATCGTGTTTATTGCCTTGATATGCCATTAGCCGACCTTAGCTTCTTTAATTATGAATGGTACTGTAATGAACAAATAAATGCTATGACTTAACAAGCGACGGAATAGTTGAGCAATAGATGACAAATAAATGAGGGACAACGTGTGAGCGTTAAAAGCGACTTCGTTTTTACGAAATACATTTTTAATTTAGGCATATAAAGGGCTCGGTGAGGTAACCAACTTTTCAGGCTGATTACCGCTAATCTGCCAAAGCTGTCGTAAAAATTATAGTTAGTCTATCATTATCTACCCAACAAAGGCAAACTGACTACATTAGCCGTAATACGGAAAGAAAGTGGAACTGAATAAGTATGTACTATCGGAATTAAAGGCAGGCATATAAAACAATGCGGGTCAAACGCCTTATTAAAATCCATCAAAGCACATTCTAGATATGTAGCTAATTGACATAGAGGGGTCTATAGGTCTATACGCAAAGATATATGTCGCATTAATTGTGGCAATAAACATATTTTAGACGGAAATTAACGGGATTGATCTGTAAAGTTTGCTGTTTGTTTATTGGATTAAGCAAAGTTTTTGGTTGTTGTTTGTTTATTGTCTAAAATGTAAATGTCATTTGTTCCGTCAGATTAATACTGACTGAACTACTGACTGAGTTATTTAAAAATCTGTCATAAATTAGTTTTCTTCAATTGTTTGTTGACACCTGTCAAACTTTGAAAAAAGAAAACTATAATGGAGGAAAGAAAATACATGCTTAATTTCACGTAGTGAATTGAAAATATTAAACTCAGTATGGTGACAGGAAGTAGTTGCCAAGGCAAATAAAATCTAAAAGTGCATTATTTTGCTGATAACACTCGCTACACTTATTAGTAAACAAGATTGGTCTCCGCGGTACCTTTTACTTGAAACTGGATCGACGCAATAGCAACTGTATTACTTATTATCTGTTTGGTAAAATTGTTTGTGCGTGAAAAAGTGTATAAATACGAAATGCATATAATTTTCCCCGTCATGGGCCCGGTTTCGACATGAACAGTACGTGAAATCTTAATTTCGCCTTAAAAATGGGTTATTACCATTATTTTTATCATAATACCCAGTAATTTTACCGATTTTCGAATTTGTACAGCCGACAACGTGATCCCATGCAGACCCCACATGACGTTCCTCTGACATGTTTGTTTTGATGTCATGTACTCGTACGCGTTCTGTCTTGTGGTGTTTAGGAAACAATGTAATAATAACATCAATATTATTGAAGCATGTTGATTGCGAGGTAGTTCCTTCTTTTGAAACCCTTTCGTTCGTTAATTGATGCATCCTAACTTCTAAACAGACCAGCTTTTTAATATTAGATATTACTTAACCCTTCGATTCGTGTACATACTTTACTAAAATTAGTGGGAGTCGAATTTCATAATATCCTTTGTTACTGTGAGATTTCAAGAAGGAATTCTTTGTACAGGTGCGATTCGATCCGAATTAAATTACTTGAGTGCATAGTTAAGCGTTGATTGCACCATAACACTTGCTGGAATTAAGCATTAAGTTTTTCCTAAATGGTTAAATAACTATTTGGGTTAATGCAATTCGTGTATGGTCTGTCCCTCGATGTACGATTTTCTACACCCAGTGGCAATTTTCCAGTTACGCTTCTGAATCAATTGTTTCAAGTCAATGTGAATTGGAACATTAAGTCTCCTTCCGTCTCAAAATAAAATTGTTGCTTCAGATCGCTCATCAATGAGCATTCCAAAAGAGTTGCGCTATCAAAATAGATGACTAAATCAATCAAGTGCAGTTGGGTAAATAAAGCGTTGCCCAAAATATAAATTAAATTTAGGTCGGATGGAAAAAGTTTCTGTGATCAAGTCTAATCAAATCAAATCAGTGGGAAATGACTGTACTGACCGGTCACCATTATAATTAGATCTTCCTGTTGTGTTTCAATTCCAAATTAAAATCAAATCCTGGGCTCTTCAGTCATTTATTGTCTATTTATCAATTAAAAAAACGTTTCGGTGTTTTCCACCATCATCAGTTTCAATGTGTAGCGTTGTTGCTACTTTAAGCCTTGGCATGTATTTTGGGCTACACATTGAAACTGATGATGGTGGAAAACACCGAAACGTTTTTTTAATTGATAAATAGACAATAAATGACTGAAGAGCCCAGGATTTGATTTTAATTTGGAATTATAATTAGAATTGAGTTACAAAAACAGTTAATATATTTACTTTAAAGGAAGGTGGTCGCCCGAAGTGTGTATGAACACGCCTATGGGTAATGTCAAAACAAGTTTACTGATGACAGAGGTCCCAGACACACTTAACTTTTTCGCACAATGAGCACGTTTATCTCAAAAGATCTTGATCGTATCACGTGAAACGTTCAATGTATTACCTCGAAGCCTGTTTCAAATCGCTAAAAATCAGACAAGAAATATATACCTAAAGAAAGATGCTAACATTTTACATATTGACTTCCATCCAGTTAAAGGCAGCTTGTACTATATATGTACTAAGATCAAAGAGGAGAGATTAGGGCATGTCATATGTGGAGATTAATTTATTCACTAACTCGTTGATTAAGTGTTGCTTTCAGCACGTCGAACCTTTCAACATTTTGTTCAAATAATCTAAGACTACTACTAGTTTATTGTATTTTTGATTAAGATCACTTTTTCGCGATATAAACATTGCTGAAGTTCGTTGAGTACCTGACTGCAATACCAATTAAATGCGTCTTCAACATCGGTTCTTTAATTCATTTCATTGTGTGCTATCGTCAGCTTGAATCAAGACCACCTACCAAAAAAATCTAACGGAACGCGGTTCATTCAATTCACCATGAAGCTGGTTTTCAACGCCGTGTTAGTCAATTTTTTATTTTTACATGTCGTTGATACCAAATCTCAACCAAGTTTGGCCTTTCATTTCTTTCAGCACTTCAAAACGATCTGCGTAGATCTCCACACTTGCAAATTGCTCGCGCTTTTCGGTCCCCGTAGAAACGAAATTCTTCCTGACGTTTTGCAAAGAGGTGATTGATCATCAGTCCAGTGTAAGCTTCACCTCAATGGATGCACGTCACTCGTGCTTGCGAAACGTTAAGAATAATTTTTTTCCGAAAACGCTTATCTCATTTACCATTTTCGAATGGCAATTGACTCGTCATGAGCGTTTTCAATACCAGAGTTGTAAGAGGCATGCAAAATTTTCTTTAAATGACAAAACCAAGAAAATCAAAACGCTCTTCACTCAACAAAACCTTCAGTGCTAATTTTAAAATTATTTAATTTGTCTTAGATTGTCTTGTTGACTGGTTAAGGAATAACATTCTAATGAGTTTTACGTGGATCTTTATATTAGTCGATCAACAAGAACAGTGAAACTCAACTAAACGTGACCGATAAATTCCTCTCTAATGTTGCTATTGTGTAAAATATGTTTTAATGATTTAAAACTGCTGTCATCTGAGTAAAACATTGTTTGCTGGTCTGTTGACCCGATATTGTACTTTGGGCCAAGTATTTTTTCAATTCCTCGTGCACATTGTATGAACGGGGATGGCATATCAATGAACGTGGAAAGTTGTGTATTGTATTTATAATGTCTGTCGCTTGTTGCAGGTGCTCAACAAGCAGTATGGCTGCAAGCAAAAGTCGCCATTGGTGAAAAAGATGAACTGTGCAGACAACTACCAAGAATTGCTGCTCTATCTTGAAAAAGCAGAGGTATGCAATTAATAACATACAATTCACTAAACGAAGACTTTGTTATGCTGAGAATAAATATCTTACTTTTAAAGCTCTATTATTTTTAATAGCCCCATCGTACCAAATGCTAACCAAATCTACGTCTACGTTTTTTTAATTAACTAAAACTCATCAAAATGATACAAACGATATTCAAAAGGCGTATCTTATGCCGTAAAGTCCATTATTTAATAGTCATAATAACGTAATTTGGCTGAGTGTTTTTCTAATGAGATATAATTTATTTTGCTGCAGCTCTACCTGCAGGCATCATTGTTTATTCGTAAACAAATCTACGGATTAAAACTGAAATATAAATAGAATAACGGTGGACTAATTACACCATTTAAAGGAAAACTCTCGTTAGTACTTGACGAGAAAGCAGTTATTGTAAAACCACTTTTTTGCTATTTATCTAGTCAAGACTGGGTGTTTTACAAGCGCATCGCATTTCTACTATCAACATACAACACCAATTATGAATTCGATCTGGCACAATTATTCTTTATCGCGGTTTTCCCCTGCTTACGTTTAACACACCGGCACACAAATCAAGATATCATAATCGTTCAATATTATTCATTCTACGATTGAAGATATGTATTTGTATTTTTACTGATTAAGAAAACGTACAAAATATGTATGTGGTCACAGAGCTCGAAACAACAATCTAAGGGCATTTTTTGAACAGATGCGCTTCAGGATTAACCGTAATGTTTGCTTAAAATCCAAATATATACAGGGTGATTCAAAATTGGCGTCATTCCTCGGGGGCTGTTTTAGTACAGGAAAAAACCTATTTAAAACTGAGATAGAACAACTAGAGGGACTAAGTGGTTAAATCACATGAACTGTTCGAAGTTGGCCATTATTCTGCACTATTGGCAGCAGTCTGGGCTCACATTTTGAGCAGCTGTTTAGCTAATTAACTCGTGCTCAATATGTACCAGTGTTGAGAAAACGAGAGATTTTATGTCTCATTTTGTTTCCTTCTGGTGTAAGTTGTTCTCCAATTTTGAATCACCCTGTATATTTATTAAAACAAACTGAAAGAAGCTGAAACAAACTGAAAAACCGCCTGCTAAAAACGAGGTGTAAAACCAATCGATCGAAACGTATTGTTTTTAAACACGTTCTTTGGCCTAGTTTCAGTTTTTCAATAGGCACGCACAATAATTATTTTTACATGACTTTCCGTTTTGTAATTGCTCTTGCTTTGATTAGCTTGAGTTATTCGTACCCATGTGCTCAGTAATGCGCTTTAGAAAAATAGTTTCACGATTTCATATCGTTTATTGCATTAGTTTTTGCAAAGCAACATACAGTAACACCAAGAAGAAACTACTTATTTTACTTTTCCAACTCTTTCTTGCCCCTGGCAGCGAAGAATGCCGGGTCGAAGTCCACATCTTTTTCAAAATCACGCCTCTCTTCTGGACTTGCCATTATCATTATCACTATCATCAATTGAATTCTTATGAGGATTCCAGTACAAAGGCTTTTTACCTCTGGAGTTGTAAAACGGTTCGTTTCGTAAATCCTTGCGCAGACAAATAAAGAACGGCTCATCCACGAGCAGCTTCTCTTGCAGATATTTTGGATCCTTTTTACCTCTATTTGCCCAAAATGGTCCCATATCCTCTTGAGTCCAAGATCTCTTGAAACAGGACTTTGTGTTACAGACTATGTCATCTTTTTGAAGCTGAGCCGGGTCCAAAACGAATCTTTTTCGCGGATCCTGACACTGCAAATAATCAAATTAACATTGTTAGTGCCAATCCTAAATAGAATCAATGAAATGTTGGGTTTCCTATAAAATCACCGCTTATTGTTTATTCGATGCGCCGAAAGCCAATGTGTACCTATACATACGTTCTCATTGGTATGCACATTGGTGATCAGTGAGTGGAAGTTCCTCTTCCGCTTGATCATTTCAAAGACATGACTTGCAACCCCACATATTTTTAAAATATTAACTGTACTAATACTTACGTGTACGATGCTCAATACTACAAAAAGCAACACACTCAGGAATGGAAACATTCTTTGCACCGGACGAAGTTCGTTGTTAAAATAGGTTTGGAAAAGTAGGAGTTTGTCCTTAAATACAATGGGCAGTTTCCAGAGCATAACGGCCTGGGGCGATTTTGAATTGGATGGGGATTTGGGAATTAGCCTGTCAACATTCTCTAATAACTTGGCTACGTTTGCTGTTGTCGCAGTTTCAGTTCACTTCCGTTTTATTTCATTACGTGCTTTATACTGAGTGTATTATCTTAAGATGTATTATTTCTTGTAGGTCCCAGCTGAGCACACCCAATCAGAAACTACAGCTACGGGGGTAAACAATTTATATGAATAATTAATTGGTATTTGGTATTAGTGTAGTTTTAACCACCGTACAGCTAATAACTTGTTGCTCTTGTCGTTATGGGCGCTGATCACCTGGTTATAAATATGATCTAAAAGATGCATTTCAATGCCCCAAATAATTGCATGTAACACTAACATTAGGCAAATTAATTTCAGGGTGATATAAATGCAGCTCTCGCAACAAATGTCCTGCCTCTCAAGAAAGCGCCAGTGAATGGGCTTGCCAAGATCGATGAGGAAAATTACGCAAAGAAAGCCTTAGAAGACGGTTCATTGTCACCGAACTCTGATCCTGAAGACATAGAACTAAATCTTCAAATATTATTGAAAATCGACGAAGCGATCCGTTCTGATCTATCCGAGCTGTTGGCCAGCCATAATTTGAATGACCTGAATCAAAGCGAACTGTCGAACTACCGGTTCTGCAAAAATAGTTCTTCGTTTGATGGGTACAAAGAATTGAACGGGTTCCAGCAGGATGATTCCGGCGTTAGCGCAAATGGGTTCCACTTGGATGACGAGGAAAGAAGTTTCATTGAGATGGATGCATTGTCTGATTTGGGATCTCATTCAGTAAGTCACTTTTCCATTGCAATTAAACCATTTAGTGATGTTCACTGGTCTTGTGTTACCGTCAAGTTGAATCTGTATCGACCGCAAATCGGATAAATTAGGTAAACACACAGTTATCAGAATTGATCGAAAAACGTTTAAGTAATTGAATGAAGCGCAATATCGTAATAACTGTCTATTGTTCCATCAGCAATTAAATACCATAGAAGCAATAATATCGGTAATTCAATTAAATCGCTGATTACTGATTACTGATTATCTTTGCAGCGACGTCCTAACAATACCGAATGTAAATAGCTGTTGGTTAATACTTAATTAAATAAAACTTTTAAACTCCGGTTTAGGTGGATATTTGCAAGTCATATGAAATATTACCATGTTATATTTACAAGAATTACCCATTAGCACAAATTGACATGTTTGCTTCCCGTGAAAGAAGTGGCAGGAACCAAATTAGCATAACCCAACAGTGAATAGCGTTTGCCAACAATTGCTACAGTTATAGTTTGTTATAGTTATAGTTAACATTTGATGGGTTGTTTCAGCCGTCTACGGTCAGTGGAGTTAACGTGGCAACTCAAACCTCTCCTTCGCCTTCTGCTAGTTCCACTAACCTGACGTGGGCGTCCAGCTCTCCAGGGTCGGACACCGAATCTTCAGAGGGGAGTGATCCATGGGCCACCGGCTGTTCAAAAAGGAAACTCACTAGTGGAAAATCCAGCTCTGCCCCTGTACTGGAAAAAGTATCACCTTCTTTGCAAGTAAGTTGTGAAACTGATTTCCAGCGAACATTTGCGGTCTTTCATAGCCTTAACTTGCGATGTTCGTTTGATTAAAGTATTATTTTTGTATTTTCATTTCCTTATCCGTGTTTCATCCCCCAGTGTTCATAGTTATCAGTCGTTTGGAAACCAGCAAACAATATATCTTCCCATTTTGCCAGTAATGAGACTTTTGAGTTGCAAATATTAGTGAACCGAGGCAATCTTAAAGCGAAATTCACTCAAATCTTCGTTCTTTTACAGCCATTGATGTGTTAAACGCGTTTCTTAATTGGTGTGTGTTATTAATAATGCACGAAGTGATAAGGAGCTCTCGGAATTTGAAAAATCATATTGGCGACAGTAAATTGATAACCTTTGAGAAATTGTCTGTGGAATTTCGAAGTGAAGACTACAGTTTATAAAATTATAATTGCCCTGTTATTATAAACGCACCATTAAATTTTCGAAATCCCTATTCCTGTAATTTGTTGACAAAGAGATTAGTTCAAGTCAAGCACTTATGCGCTATATTTATTAATGGTGATAAAAATGTGTGTATGTTAAATTTGCAAGTATGATCAAATAATTAAGTGTATATAAATAGATAGATAGAATAGATTCTGATGTTGAAAAGCGTTTCATTGACAAAACCAAGGTCCGCTGGGTAAACTCTGAACTAAAGTAAAATCTTGAGCACAGCATCCCCATCCATATATGATAAGCTACAATCACGCGTGTGTGTATAGGCATCGCCTTTGAACTTCAAGCTGTTAATAGCGGATGGCCAGCCATGCATAATTGATCTGCTATAATTTCAGGTGAGCAGGCAATCCCGATCACAGTCCGACAGACATTTAGCCGGTGAGTAGTTCAACACGTTGTTTTAACTCAGCAACATGTCCATACGGGTCAAGGAATACAAGTTTTTTCGTAGTCTTAGTGTGAAAGTTAATGATAATTGGCCAGTTCGAAAAGCTGAGCAACTATGGAAACTTATGCGGACTACTAAAATTGCAGGTTGGCAATCAACCCCTTTCCATCCATTAGAACATGGAACCTACTGTATTACGTAGAAAAAAAATCAACTAAAATTGCTTTTTGAAAACCCAAACTGTGTTCCGCGAACCTATATTTGCTTCACATGGGCATTACTTCATAATTTTTTAAGTTTCGAAAAAGTGGAAAAACGTTACTCGTAAAAAACAGGGTGGTTCAGTAGAAATCAACCTAAAAATTAACCAAGTGTTGAAAAAGTTTTGGAAATCCTGCTTTAGTGACTGATTTTACGATAACAAGAAAACACTTTAGAAAAGTAGCTAAAGAGCCACTGCAATCAGATGCTCTTGCTTTAGAAACTCCCTGGAAAGCGAGGTTTTCTCGAATTCCAAACTATATTATTCTGCTCAAACAGTTTATTTTATTTACGCGGACTATCAGTACATTTGCGTGTTCAGCGGGCGTATATTTGAAGCGAATCATACCTTTTCACACAGACCCTTTTCCTTGCTATGCACTTAACATTTTATCGACGATTGGTTAAACCCAGCTCGAACTACAATCAATGGGTGATTAATCAGGGTATACTCCTGACCAATAGGAAATATCGATTTTGCTTTTCTAAGGTGTTGCTCTTTCCTAAGGCGGGTTCTAAGGACCATAAGAAGTTCTAAGATTGGCGGAAAGTAAATGTACAAAACACACACTTAACATCTAAAAAAAATGTGGTGACCGAACGGATATCAGAACCGAAATCGTACTTAGTAGATATACCTTGTACAATTGAAGCAGATATCGATTATTAAGACTCCGCCAGGAATCATTATAAAGAAATGTGTAATTTTTTTATTGATGTGATCTGAAATTTTTGAAACGCATCTTAAATTAAATCATAGATTGTTTACTTCCGGCGACATTAAATAAATACGCAGTTCCTCTTCCCGAGCTACTTGTGTTCCAAATAGCCTAAAAGCTTTGAAGACGCCGAAGTCGGTATCTCTTTTTAGAACACACGATAAGTACGAATATTAAAATTTCAACACTTTCTGTGGCATCTGGCTTTAAAAAATGCCATATGCGTTCGCAATTCCTTTTGATACACCTAATAACAGGAAAAGTGTAAGTTTCCTATACTTTATGCGATTGGGAATCAATCAACAAATTGCTTTGTTGATTGAACTTATTCACAAATTAGCCGAACGCAAATATTAGTAAATAACACACATCTATTTCCGCTAGCGAGTTTCTGATTGTTCCAGCATACTTCTTACGAAAGTCGTTAATTCGAAATTGTTGGTAAATTATTTTTGGCAATGACCAAACCTCTCCATATTTAAATTAACATTAGAAAGTTGTTCAAGAATTGTTGCGTGCCCACAAAAACGGCGGAAAACATTAAACATGAATGCGTTTCAAATTATTATTGAAACGCGTTTTATTTGTGGACATGTAATGTAAACATAAATATTTGCGCTTTTTGTACTTTTGCAAATTCACGGTAGTTAATATAGCAATTTATAAAAATAATAAAGTACCTACTCTCTAATTTAAAATTAATCAGTAACTCTGCTAGACAAAGCCATAGGGTCGATTGGTGTTAGAGCAACCTATCAATTTGCAATAATTAATTAACATTAATTCACAAACAACAATCGCCGCTTTATTTTCAGCAATTTATCAAATGATTCACTGGTTTTCAGAAATCGAAGCTGCTGAAGCGTGCAAATGGCTACGTGCAACTGGATTTCCTCAATATGCACAGATGTACGAAGGTAAAATCCCTTTTGCCCTAAAATAGAACAGCTATTTTTTTATTCTGTCCCTTATAATTTGAAATCGGTCGACCCTGCAATTATGGTTGAAGCCTTCTAATATTACAAGGTGTGATCGGAACGTATTTAGTTTCCTATCTATTGTAAAACATGTTTAATATTCAGTCAGTGAGTTGTTAAATTTTCTTCAAAGGACTACTGAATTTCTGTTGCTTTGAACGATGATGTTAGATTAACTTCGGTAGACAAAATCTTATACGTCCTATTTTTGTCAACTTTTTAACAAATAATTTTGATCTAATGAACAGAAGATAAAAACGAATTTGATCAATCTTCTAGACATGCAGTTTCCAATCGATATAAATCAAGCTGCGCAAGATCATCCATTCTTAGAAAACGACGTGTTACATTCCCTGTTCCGTCGACTAAAGATACTAAACAGCTGTGCGCATCTTCACCAACAGCGCGTTACACATACAGATGAATCTGATGATGAATACTGCGCGCTGAGTGAGAACTGGACGTACCAGAGCGACGTACGCAGATGGTCTAGGACCTGCATAAAAGGGCCTATTCGTACGTACTATAAGCCGGGTATTTATTTTTTGACATCTGCATGGTTGCTGTTAATTTATAGCTAATCTTGAAGAGATCGGCCAGCGTTTCGAGAGTAGTAGCGTGAACAGTAATGATAAGGACGATGTATTTGAGAAATGCACGCAGTCACCTAAGGAAAGATTGAGAAGAGCAGGTTCCACCAAATTTAGACGGCGCAGGGAAGGCGTATGCTTTAGTGAAAGAGAAGCTCTGGACTCGGTTTCTCGGGTAGGGAGCATTAAAACTCTAGAACTGAATCACATATCGGACTCGGAAGTAACTCCGAAGCATCAAAGGAAAGCTAGAACGAAGAGTTTTGATAAGACGGAAACCTGGGCTCATCCCGTCGATCCAGTTGAAAGGTAGCGGATATAAGAAGCAGTGAATTTGATGTGTTATAATAGCTGTAATTGTCCTAGACTTGTATGGCAGAAGTTACCAGAGAGTGATTCTGCACAACCGGAAGATACAGACGAGATAAATAGTCAAACCGGATCACGGATATCTATCTACAATTTATCAGCTACCCAATTACAGGTGCTACGCAAGCTGGCTTTACTCAAGCTAACTGCTCATATGGAGAAGTACTGTCCATCCCATAGAACGGGCTGGAACTGGGATCTACCCAAGTTCATCCGGAAAATGAAAGCTCCCGTGTATAAAGGTAAATCTACCCAAAAAAGTCGAGCTTTCACAGCAAACGCTTGAAACTGGTGCGGTTTTCGAGGTTTTAAGTCGTACCTATTAGAAAATAATTTACCAGACATCTCTCAAGCACTAGCGGGTGAGCGTTCACTCAAACACTTACACTGCTCTGAGGATGTGAATAAAAGTTATTTTCTGTGACTCCCAAAAAATCTGAACAACTCACAAGTTTCGTAGCTCTAGCCAATGAATGCAAAATCTATTACTTTTTCATCCCGCAAAATGATATGAGGCGATTACACACAATACTGGGAAACACAATCTGTGCTTATTATTTTCAGACAAAAATGTGTTTGGCTTACCTCTAACAATAACATTGCAAAGAACGGGCCAAGTACTACCAAGAAACATTGAAGAGGCGTTGCGTTGGTTGCAGCTAAACGCCGCCGATCAAGTCGGCATTTTTCGAAAACCCGGTGTCAAATCAAGGATTCAGACATTGAGAAATCTGGTAGAGACTAATATCTGCGTGGACTATACAGATCAGCAATCATATGATGTTGCTGACATGGTCAAGCAGTACTTTCGTGATCTTCCAGAGACCTTGTTGACCAACAAGCTGTCTGAAACGTTTATTTTGATTTTCCAACGTAAGTAGTTTCTGGCCTATCTTTCAGAAGTGATGATTATTAATTTTTATAAAATACCATGAAAGCTTTCTCCTCTGTTCTTATATTTAGGCTGTTCGGGAAGCAATTACAAAAATCGTACCACGAACGTAAGGCCACCAGGGTTTTCTAAATTACCACTGGTTAAATTTCATACCAGTCGAAAACCTTTGAACTTTGCTTTCAGTACGAATCTGATAATGATGATGAACTAATTTTTTCGGTCAGCAGAAGCATTAAGCGCCTGTTTAACGTTGATTGACGTAAGCGGTCAGCTTTAAATGGCCCAACTCAGTCAACGTATCTCAAGTGGCTGAGTAAGCCACTCAGGAGCAAGCAAAATCAATCCTGCAGTTTCAGTCTGTGGGTTTATTTTTGGCCGAGCCCCATTGGTGTGTTGCAACAAATTCAAATGTGGCTTTTCACACTCTTTTGCAGATGTGCCAGTTTACTTGCGTCGCGAATCCGTTTTATGTGGCCTGCTGTTGATGCCTGATGAGCATCTGGAAGTTCTTCAAGCTCTACTTCATTTCCTTCTGTCTGTTTCCAAGCATTCAGAAATCAACCAGATGAACGAAAGTAACTTAGCTATGTGCTTCGCACCGTCTTTGTTCCACTACTCGCAAGCATGCAAGCAAAATATTGGATCACCACACCCGAAAGAATTGGCGGAAAACAAGGCGGGATATGATTGTTTGTATTATTTCTTGAAGAACTTCAACACCCTGTTTAAGGTGAGACTCGCGTCACGTGGTGGTATACCCAATCTCATCGGGTAACGTATGACTGAACATTAAAGCCAAGAACAATAGATATAAATTGATCCTAATAAACTTGACATGCCAATTTATACTTGAGGATGGATGTCCTACTGTGCATTTTATGAATGAATTACACTCGAATAAAAAAATGTTCAGTCGAACGTGCCTAATATCCTCTGTAACGGTGTCATGAATTTTTAAATCTCCCATGATCGACCGTTACATCATTATATATCGTTTAGAATTGCATTATGGCATTGAACAACTGAAATTTCGCAGCAAGATAAATTTTGACCCAAGACTGTTATTAAATTAGGTAGGTACATTAATGGTCTAGAACTTAAAGCCTTGGGACTTTCTCACACAGTCGGTTCCTCCGCAAAGGAAGCATCTCTAGAAAATTGTATTTGTTCCAGATACCTGAGGATTTCATAAAACAATGCAAGTCTAGTGAAATCAAAGAAACAAAAGCGAAACTCCTGTGCGACTTGGGTTCTGATATGGGGGGTTGGAGGAAGTATCTGAACGAATGCCAGGCAAATTTGTTGAGAGAGGCAAAAGATCGACAACGTGGTTGGGTCAGTATAGCTAGTCATTATCAGCGTGTTGAGATTGCTTTCAAAAAAGTGGCGGATGGTATTCCGCTAAGGCTTTGGAAGGTCAGTGCTGAAATCGAAGCGCCACCATCGGAAGTTCTGCATAGAATCCTTAGAGAACGGCATGTTTGGGATCCAGAGCTGCGTTCAGCTAAAATCGTTGCTCAATTAGAGTCTCGGAGTGAAGTTTTTCAATTTACCCGGGGGAGTATTGCCCCTCGGCCTATGGAAGAATATTGTGTTGTGCGTACTTGGCGTACCGATCTTGCCAGAAATGCATGTTTACTTATAGAGACTTCGGTAGAGCATCCCGATGCTATCCCGATTCCAAACTCTACTAGAGGGTTAGTATTAGCATCCAGGTATTTAGTAGAGCCTTGTGGATCTGGAAAATCTCGATTGCTCCACTTGGCTCGCGTTGATACAATGGGCCGGTCGCCAGACTGGTACCAGAAGCATTTCGGCCATCTTCAAGCATTTCTTTTAGCTAATATACAGAGTTCGTTTTCTGGATATCAAAACACACTGGGACCAGAAAGCAAAGTTTAAAATACACATAACCAAAGAATGTACATACCTGTTAATCAGTAGATGAATATTTCATATATTTTTGTAAGCCGGATTTATTTTAGTTTTCCTATACCCACTATAAGAACTTTGGTACAAATTAAGCATCACGAAATTAAGAATTTAATATACTTAAGAGCAGGAAGGAAATATTTTTAGCGAAAATACATGTTACCATTTTTCGTTGGAAAAATATATTTTTAATAGTGATATTTTTATAATTTGCATCTTTTATTGTTCACAAAGTATCTGCTTGTCATGTGCCATGCTAGTCATTCAATATGTTCTTATTCGAATAAAATATTATTTAGCTTAAATAACCTTATTTTAAGAACAGATATCAATTTGTACGGGCCAGTATTCAATGGAAAATTGTATATTATTCATATAATAGAACATCTAAAATTAATCAAAATGTTTGTCGCTTAATTTCTTAGCTCCCCAATTGCAAAAGATGACATTTACGATAAACCGTTGTTGAATTAATCATTCATCAACTAAATTGGATTATTACTTCTCGTGTAACTAATCTCGTTGTTACTCTTGATACGTACCATCAGTTTCATTTCCGGTTCCAATGAATCGAGTGAATTGCATTTTATTTCGACTGATAGATAGTAAAACTTCAACAATAATTAATATAATTTAATATAAAATTTAATACAAAAATCAACACTTCCTAAGATATTTTAAGGTCTTCTAGCTTTCGTGTCACATACAACTAAAGAATGTTATATTTGTCAACGAATGATATCAACAAAACCAATATAAACTTTTTATAAAAATACAACTTTATGAAAGTCTGTAACATTTCTTCACAAAATCTGAGACTCCAATAAAAATTAAGTTATGCGTTGCATCTATATGGTGGTCTATCACTCTAAACTATCATTTATTAAAGTTAACACAGTTGTAT